CTGCTATGTGACTTGTCCCTCGTCATCTTCGTGTATAATGCCCTGCATTGTACATTGTGACGTCAGCAGGCCTCTGGAGTGAAGGGGGAGGAAACAGCGTCTGCTTTTAAAGCCAGCGGGAGCGGGGATCAGGTAAGTAGATGTCCTTTACAAAATCCCCCTGCACATGAACTGGCAGTTAACCTTTCAGTTCTTTTTTTTCCTGGAGATAAGCTTTAATTTACCAAACCACTCAAAACTATTCCAACATGTCCTAATCTTACAACATTCATATAACATATGATTTAGGTACGGGGATGATGAATCAAATTGAAACATCTAATATTTCCCTTATTATACATGTTGTTGTTATATCTTTCAATACAGATGTATGCCCTGCCCATAATTGAAGCTGGTTTGAAAGCATATGGTGGCCCTGCTTCTTAGAAAGGATATTAGTACTTAAAGCTGAACTCCAGGCTCCCTCCCACAACCAGCCTTTAACTAATCATTGGCATGGAAAAAAAAAAAACTTACACAAAAGCCCCTTTTACTCTAAACCCTAAATTCGCAGTCACGTGATGTTCTGCTCCCAAGTCCTCTCCCACTTTCTGAACATGGGAGGTTGGGTCCTTCTTAAGGTGCCTGCATTACTGCCTGTGCGACATGGACACTTCCTATTGACTGAGAAGTGCCTCTCAGGACCAATAAAAGGAATGTCAGTGATGATGGCAACAAGATGGAAACTGGCCAGCATAGACAAATTACCAGTTCTCCTTTTCTCTAAACGTTGTCAGCAAAGGACTCGACAGAAGAGTTAGGCGAGTAACTGGCTTTACAATACTTTACAAGTATTCTGATACCTGATGGCGGCCTTCTTGGTGATGGGCGCCGGCAGAGAGAGAAGGGGTCAGTCAACGGCCGGAATAAGGTATGCCGCCAGGTCCCCTCCTCTCTCCTGATACTGTCGGGCGTTCGGTCCATGACCCAGCGCCCGACTTTTCAGAGGGGGGTGACACCAAAATGACTGTAAGTCATTTTGGTGTCACCACTGCAATGGTGTCACCCGGGTGCAGGCCGCACCCCCTTGTGACGCCACTGCTCTCTATCTCTCTATCTATCTATTCTGAAAAGTAATAATGGTTTGTTACTCAGTGGTTAAGCAGTTTTCTTGTCTCTCTTACCAGGTAGCAGCATGACCAAGTATATGGAACGAATTGAAGAAATGAAGAGAAGTATGTAAAATAGCATTCTAGATTTAATGTTTTAATGATTGTATTATGTCACCATGTACTGCGCCCTCTCTTCTGCTTTATAATGTCTAATTGCAGCCATGAATATCAATGCATAATTTTTAGATCCTCAGTTCTGCATTAATAAGGCCCAGCCACAACCGGAAATTCAAAACCTCAGGTTAAATGCTGCACTGCAAAGTATCCATGATCACATCCAATGAAATTAAATTGTTATTTTCACTGTATTATGCTGATGACTCGAAGTCTACATGCTTAAAAATTTAAAAAACATTTTACAATGTTAGGATGGAGGAATATATTATACTATAACCTTTCCATTGTGTCAAAACACCACTAGGGCAGCACTTTTGTTATTTTTGTTTGTTCACATTAAAATTTCCCTGTGTTTCCCATGCAGAACAAAGCAACAGGTTTACTTGAATGCCCATGCAGCATCATATTTTTTTTAAGTTTTTTTTTTTTTTAATCTCTCAAACAACAAAGAGGAATACTTACTGCTTCTGGTATAGAGGAACATGTGACTTGCTCTCATTCCTTCTACGTGACCATGCTGATGGTTGGCAATTGGCCGCTTAGGCACCTTTACCTTATGTGGACTTGAAGCCCTATGTAAGACCCAACTTGGAGCTTGCACATAGATTCTTCTTCCTCCCAGCAGCAAACAGTGGTGGAGGAGTAAAGGAAGGGTAAATATAAGCTACTGCAGGAACCAGATTTAAAGTGAACCTGTTGCTTTTTAAAACACACGTTTACCTTAAAGCCAGCAACCATTTGTTGTAGTGATGGTGTGCTTTTTTTCTGAATATGTACACATGCCATTGCTGAGATTGAAAAGGCTGATACACAGATGTCTGTGGGCATAGTCTTAGATTTACATATCAGTATTTGAAGTTCTTCTAAATTCAGATGATGTGCTGGTCAGTAGAAGATGACTTGGATTGCAGATCATCTGCCAGCATCCTGTTAAATGTTCCCACAATCTAAATGCAACATTTTCCATATTTCATACATTTAGCTGGAAATCCAATTTTCTAGGTTATTATAATATTTCTGTGAATTATATTCAGTAATATTCCTGCATTCTCCTTGACTGTCCTGATAGTTGCAGCATGACAATCACTGTTTTGTTGAATAAATTCCCTTGGTGCTCATCACATTTCTTTTTCTTTTTATACTCTTGTGCAGAAGAGGCTTGAGCACACAAGGAGCATTGTCTCTTCCCATGTGCTGTATACTCTAAAGCTTCTAGGGCTACTAGAATGGCTACTTTTGTAACACCTGGTAAGGGTACCCCATATCTGTGTGTAATCAAACCCTTAGTACAGTAATTCTGTCTTATGAGAACAACAGAGGGAATATGATGTCTGAAAGTATACAAATCTGATAAAAGGCAGCACAATGGGTCTGACTGTCCCTGGCCGAGGCATAATGAGTGAATGCCGAACAAGGTCCAGGCCATTCTTTCCAGTTTCACCGTCCTGCCGAGTTGGTTCTATTTGCAGACCAGATTCTGCCTTGCCTGGTTTTATATGTACTCAATGCATCAATAATGTCTCAAAGCACCGATGATGATCTTTGCCAGACAGAACCAGGTAATCTCGGTCTGAGAATTTTGAGTGATTTTTCATCTAATGTTATATTATTGATCTAATAGGCTCCCATGTTGGGGATGGATGCATATGTTTTATAATCTCAATGAATGCATGCTTATTGATTATGGAGTGTTGCAGTGGTTAACTAGCAGAGGGGGAAAATCGGCAAAATGCTTTAGATTGTATGCATGTTCTAAATGAGTAAAGGATGAAGTGTGCAATAAATGGCTTTTATTCGCTGTTTAAAACATCATTCTTCAATGTGGCAACCTTTCTACACTAATGGATCTCCACTTATATTCCCAAACTGAGCTATGCAGATATTTAGAATGGCTCTTATGGTAGGGTTCTTTTCAATGAAGGTAATAGTATTTTCCAAGCTTTCAGCATACCAGTCCTGGTGATCCAGCAATGATGGTGTTACAAAGAGGATGGAGTAAACTGAAATGCATTCCTGAATAATGTTCTTCACAGTCATTTATATAATTATCATTTATATATTTATTTGGTTCTAGTAACCCAGGGCCAGGCTCGCTTCTGAATGTTGCTTTGACAGAATCTTTTAGAATATTGAAAATGCAAAAATGGAAGATCCAGTGATTTGGATTTACCAGTATGAATGGACATTGTACAGGGACTTTCATTGAACACATGCATTTAGACTTGTAAAGCCCAAGCCATCAACAATCGTTCCAAGTATGCTTTAAATGTCCTTAAAGGAAATCTCTCTAACTCACTTTGCATCGCCACAATTTTACAAAAATAATTTGTATACTTGAACCTGCATTTCTGCTATTATTTGTAGCTTGTTGTAGTATTGTTTTAAAAAAATGTCCTTATTTTTTTTAGATTACAGATATAAAAAGGATGAACTTTTCAAGAGGATCAAAGTTACTACATTCGCCCAACTGGTGTGTAATCTACCAAATGTATTTTGTTTTATTATTCAGCATTTTTTGTAAGTGAAAACTTACAATGCTTTCTAAAATATCCTGAACAATATGTGGTTTCTCAGGAAGACACATTCCTCCTGAGATGCACAAAATACATGCTACTTACAGGGACCAGTTAGCAGTCTAGATGGCTGGAGAGTACCATATGATGGGAAAAGCATGTACAAAAGCACACCTCCCAAGCTGACACTTCAACTCTGCTTCCTGTTCTTTGACTTGGTTTAGACATAGGTCTCCCCTTAACTCGATGAGGCTTGACAGTGGAAATGTACGGGTTAATGGGTTTATGGGAATTCTCTAGGACAAACCATGTTCTAGTGTTCAGTTTTCAAGGCCATAACATTAAATATAATAATGTCCTTTACATCCAGGAGGACATTCACTTCTTAAATAATCACAATGACAAGCTAGTGGCACAGATCTCATTGTTCAATGTATGCAGCTTCACCTACATTGAAGTGTAAATGGTGACAAAATGTATGTAAGACTGCTATACTATACTAGTGGCAGAATCTCCCATCTCAGATCAGCCTATAGCACCTCTAATGCTGCACATCTAGTTAAGTGATTTATTATAGTTTTTATATGGTAAAGGATTTTCATGCAACTTGTCCAGCAAACATACCGTAGGTGCTAATTAATTGTTCTTTCATATGGGAAGACCCAGCAACTGTGACAGTTCAACATCATTGTTCAAATTTCCTTTTCACTGTTCTTCCCTTACTGGTATGATGTGTCCTGCTGAATGAAGAGTAAAAAGTTTTAGTAATATAATATCATATACAGGTTGTTCAAGTGGCATCTGTGTCAGAAGAGAGCGATGCTGAAATTACCAGTGAGGAGCTGCAGAGGCTGGAAGGTAATACAAATTTGAACAGTTAAAGTATTGAATGTCTGTCACTTGATTCCCAGGAGGAAATACTAGCAATGTTACAGTACATTTCATGAACTATGTTTTCTACTTCCAGCACGTTTTACTCCCAGACAGGGCTGGCAATGTATTTATTACTTGTTTCTTACTGTACAATTTTTGTGTCCACATTGTAGTTGTATTAACCCATTGAGCATTACAGATCTTCAGAAGACGGCCTTAAAGTGACATTAAAGTCAAAAAAATGTTTCTCTCCCCCCCAATGTTAATGTTAGCACTTACCTTAAATGATGTCTCTTAATCCGATCGTCTTCATTCCTGATGTTTCATCTGTCCCTCCAGCGCTGACTAGACTTGTGCGCTGTCAAAAAATGTGTTCCGTTTCGTTCTGTTTCGTAATATTCATTATTTCGTAATTCGTATCCGAAACTCAATTTGGATTTTCGTTAGTTTCGGCACATTTTCGTAACTTTACGAACATTCGTTATGATGAAGTTAAAAAGCAAAAATACCTTTTGTTAATATTGGAGTCGATGTGGTAGTTGTTTTTGTATCCGAAATACGGATTCAGTTAACGGATTCCGTATCCGAATTTCGTATTTCGGACTTAAAAACAAACTACCATCAACTCCAATATAAATGTACTTGCTTTTTAACTTCAATATATAACGAATGTTCGTAACGGAACGAAAATACGTCAACGGAATTTCGTATTTCCTGCCTGTATTGTAATGCAACCCTCAGCAGCAGCAGATCCGTATTTCGGATTTAAAAAAAAAATGTTGTCATGTTGTTCAACCTCATTTACAGGGGTAATATTCGTTCCTGTTTCAAAGAAATTCGGATCCGAAATTCGTTAACGGAATTTCGTATTTCGGATATAATTCAGAAACTGCAATTCGGATTTCGTATGCTTACGAATCTACGAATTTCAGGAAAATTCGTACGAATTTCGATTCGTAACGAAACGAATTGCACATGTCTAGCGCTGACTCCTCTGTCCTTGCAGGCATTTCCGATCCTGCGGTGTCTGCATGCGGGTGCTCCCGTCCATAGATTTACCTTGCGTCTCCGCTCGTCTCCCGGCCGAAAATCCGAACTGTGCATGCGCCCGCCCCAAGATGCTTTGCGGCCGCCTGAGCAGTTTTGGATTCTCGGGCAGGAGCGCGCGGCGATAACTGGGTAAGATTAAACCACTGATAGTGTTTGTTTGTTTGTTTTTTTTTTTTACTTTTGGCATATATCTACTGCTTGCTAGCAGTAGATATAGGCAAAAAACTCAGAGGGTTTAGAATCCCTTTAAGGCTATTCTTACTGGGCAATTTGTCTTTTTAATTAACCGCTCCGTTGCCGTCGGATTCAACAAATTGAGTGTAATGAAAATCCTGCACACACGATATAACCAATGTCTGAAACGTTTGAAATAGATTGCATTGCAGTGTATAGTTTGGGAAATGTCTGTTGACGATCCTGTTTCCAAAACCATGTGTCTATGGACAGACTGAATGACATCCACTGAACAGTGAATGAAATGTTTAAGTGCTCATTCATATTAGATGAGTCTGCCAATCAGTATGTTTTTGAGTCGTTCAGGCCACAGTCTGTTTTATGGGGCACCCTCAAAGTTCTATACAACAAGGGGGATACTGCCATTAATGTGGCTAGGAGAAACTTGTACATTTGATTTTGTTTCTACCAGCATAAGCCGGCTTCAGAGTGTGAAGTCATGCCTCTTCTTTTCCTGCTCAATGTCTAAATAGACCTGAATGAGGTCCGTTAAAGACGCCTTTGTATACCAGGTCTACTCTAAAAAGTGCCAGTGAAGTAGGCAGTTATCATTGCAGATTACACAGAATTGAATCTAATCTGCTAGCTCTTGGAACTCCTGAAAATTGGCACAGTACACATTTGAAATAGATGTTTATTGATTTACTTGCCAAAAGATTTGTAATTCTACAGCCAGATTTGTGATTGACAGACATATCCCAAAGTGTACAACCCAACAGGTGACATGTTTATTTTGAATAAAGCAGTGTATCTTCTTGATTCAGCAATTCAACTTCTTATGTTGGAAATGCAACAGCATATACTGGTATGTCTGACCTGTAGATGGCGCTGTAATGCAATGTAGGTTTTCTACATGCATGCTTATCTATAATACACAGGATGTTTCCTGTATATTCATTTCCTGCACAATGCTGTACATACATGTATATGAACACTAGAGGCAGAAAAGGGCATTAGATAGATGGATGGATAGATAGATAGATAGATAGATGGAAGGAATTGTGGACGGATTCCTGTGTTGACAGCACTGATTTTGAGAGGAAGCTAGAGTGCGGAGCACCTCATTGATATACACTATATTGCCAAAAGTATTGGGACGCCTGCCTTTACATGCACATGAACTTTAATGGCATCCCAGTCTTTGTCCGTAGGGATCAATATTGATTTAGCACACCCTTTGCAGCTATAACAGCTTCAACTCTTCTGGGAAGGTGTCCACAAGGTTTAGAAGTGTGTCTATGGGAATGTTTGACCATTCTTCCAGAAGCGCATTTGTGAGGTCAGATACTGATGGTGGACGAGAAGGCCTGGCTCGCAGTCTCCACTCTAATGCATCCCAAAGGTGTTCTAACGGGTTGAGGTCAGGATTCTATGCAGGCCAGTCAAGTTCCTCCACCCCAAACTCGCTCATCCATGTCTTTATGAACCTTGCTTTGTGCACTGGTGCGCAGTCATGTTGGAACAGGAAGGGGCCATCCCCAAACTGTTCCCACAAAGTTGGGAGCATGAAATTGTCCAAAATTTCTTCGTATGCTGATGCCTTAAGAGTTCCCTTCACTGGAACTAAGGGGCCAAGCCCAACCCCTGAAAAACAACTCCACACCATAATCCCCCCCTCCACCAAACTTTACACTTGGCACAATGCAGTCAGGTAAATACTGTTCTCCAGGCAACCGCCAAACCCAGACACGTCCATCGGATTGGCAGGCAGAGAAGCGTGATTCGTCACTCCAGAGAGCACGTCTCCACTTCTCTAGAGTCCAGTGGTGGCGTGCTTTACACCACTGCATCCGACGCTTTGCATTGTACTTGGTGATGTAAGGCTTGGATGCAGCTGCTCGGCCATGGAAACCCATTCTATGAAGCTCTCTATGCACTGTTGTTGTGCCAGTCTGAAGGCCACACGAAGTTTGGAGGTCTGTAGCTTTTGACTCTGCAGACAGTTGGCGACTTCTGCGCATTATGCGCTGACCCCGCTCTGTCATTTTAACTGGCCTACCACTTCGTGGCTGAGTTGCTGCTGTTCTCAGTCGGTTCCACTTTATTATAATACCACTAACAGTTGACCATGGAATATTTAGTAGCAAGGAATTTCACGGAACACCTGAATCCAATGATTTGGAGGCGTGTCCCAATACTTTTGGCAATATAGTGTATATACATACATATACATACATTTAGTGCACGCATGCTCGAGTGCCCATCATGGCAGAATCCACCTTAGCACAGCAATACTTAATACTCACTATTCCTCTAATCTGTTGAAAAGCCGTACATCAGTAAGTATATAGATGAAGACAATATCCAAAACCAGCCAAGTCTTTTAAAGCGGACCTTTACCCCCTTTCATTAAAAATCACATCAGCATGCAACTCTGAATGCTGATATTAAGCCATCTTCTGTTCATTAGTGAAACTATTTTTTAGTTTTATACTTACAATTATTGTTTTTCAACTTCCTGGTCCTCTTAGACATTAGTGATGTTACCCATGCCTAAGAGCTGTATCCTGGCAAGTTCATATCAGCAGTGCATTGATGGGATATCTTACCTGGAAACTGCACAACCTCTCAACATCAGGGGGGGGGGGGGCTTTAGATGATGAGCACTGTCACATGTTCCAGTCACATGTGCCAGTGTTCCAGGAAATAAAGGGAGATTTATTAATCTGTCCATGGTAAAAATGGCCACTGTGAGAAGAATGGGGAAGAAAAGAAAAAAAGGGGTGCAACAGAAAAAAAAAGAGCCTTCAGTGTCTGTTTGTTGATTTGTCATTACTAAACATTTGTAAATGTGACTTTGTTGTCATTTTAAAGATAAGGGTAAAGTTAATAGTTGACAACTGCTGTGAACGGCCTATTGACTGCTATACTGAAGGATTAGACCTGATGATGACTGTTTAAATACCTGAGATTAAATGTATTTGATTTCCATTTGTGTTTTGTTTTTTTTTTTTTGTTTTTTTGTTTTTTACTCTCTTTAGATAACAGTTCAGTCATGTCAGAGGCAGATACGGAGCTTCCAACAGACCGGACCAATGGCAAACACAGCCCTGGCAGTGTTCCTTTAAGCTCAGTCGAGCTGATTGATAATAAGGGAGATGGGGATTTCTTGAGCTCTGCGCGGTCTACTCTTCAGAGGTGAGTGCTACTGAAGAACTTCATAAATGTATATATTATTGTACCACCGCTGTAAAAATGAAGGGAGTCTATTAAAAAACACTGTACTAGTTAAAATAAAGACACCAAATTCATGTTACCTGATCTGAGCCCCTTAACTGTGTCAATTACACAGACACCTAAACATTGCTGCTGTTTATCGGGACAATTGCTCCTCATTATTAAATAAATATTATTCTCTTTTAGCGTTATTAGTGGAGTAGGGGAACTGGACCGGGATAATGATCCAAAGAAACAATCGAAAAAGGGACCCTCTTCTAGCTCGGGGTCTCTTGACAAACCATACCCAGATTGCCCATACCTTCTTCTGGATGCACGTGACAGAGAGTGTTATGATCAGTGCCATGTTGTTGGGGGTAAGTATATGAACAAGATATCACATACAGCTCTTCCTGAAACCTTTTATAATGTGCTGATTTGTTTTTAATATAAAGAAAATTAATTCAGGTTAACTTGATGTAGACACAGGGACCTGGTTATAAATCTTCTAAGTCTGCCTATCGCAGGTTATTTCCCCTGCTGCATTGTGTGATGTGCGGCTTGTTTAAATACTTAGGAATCACTGAATTGGGGAGGACAATGATTTTAGATCATTTGAGATTACGTTTTTAGAAGAGCATCGGCAGGCACTTTTTTTTTTTTATTCTGTTGATATGTATGCTATTTGCATGTCTATAAATGATGTCATTGTGGCAGCAGCTAACGATAATACGAAAGCACCTGCACTCCATACAGCATACAGACCTTGATGAAAGTTTGGTGCTTGAAGTGACAACACGGATGGGACCGTGTCAGATACAGTCCATAATAGAAGTCACCAGCACGCGATTATATGTGCAAGAAGTAAAGCACTTTTTATTAAATTGTCACATTTGTCATAGAGCCAACGTTTTGGGGCCACGCAGGGCCCCTTATTCTGGGCGACATAGTGACATTAGATTCTTTTGCTTATTTATTGTAGAAACATGTCGCAAGCGTCATTTAGCCAACGTTTGGGTCACTGTCGCCCAGAAGAAGGGACCCTGTGTGACCCAGAAACATTGGCTGTAACGATGGCACAATCTTTGCATTTTTATAAGAAGCATGATCGTATTTGTGACCCTCGTAGGCTATTCGTATAGACTCTCTTCCTTGTAAAGTACATAAAGAATGTTAAAAACTTTAATTGTGTTGGGTTGCAACTTATATTCAACCTCTGTGGAGTTGATATAAGCGGCAGTGCAAAGTAAGAAAAGGGGTTCCTATTTACACCATAGCCCGTTTTACAATATATATCTTTTTGCATAGTTAAAGGAAAAAAAATGTTAAGTCCAAAACATTGGTATTATATATTTATATAAGAGCAATGCATTATAACTATTGCACACCTTGTAACCACATCTAGTTGTGGTGGAGGTCAAAGTAACCCAGGTTTTACATACTTGTGCTTATAGGGCCATTTAAATGTAAATGTAAATATTCTGATGTATTCCTTTTTTTTTCCCCTTTTTATTTCTTTGCAGCACATCACTATCCCATCGCCATGCTATCAAGAACAATGAATCCCTTCACTCCAGAAATCTTGAATTATGTATCCATTATATTTTTATCCCTGTTCTCCCGCTTTAAAATCCTACCTCTTTTATGTTTTTTTTTTTGTGTTGCTGAGAAGGAAACTGGCCAGATTTGTGCTATGTATCCATACAGTCAGATATCTCAGAATAAATGGCATAGAAACATCTGCCACGACTAAGGGACTCCCCACTATATTTTCGTCACCTTGGTTGATAGATTCTAACGGTACACATGCAGTGATATGCTTGTTCCCATTAGTCCACTGAATATGGAATGAATAGCACCTGCTTGCACAGAGAATTTCTGACATGCTTCAAAATCTTTGGCCCATAAAGATCATTTCTATTTTCATATAATCCTTTAACTACACATGTGAAAATAAAACAAAAACATTGCAATGGTTTAGGTAAGACAAAGTGGTAATGGTTGTCCCTTGCTGCATGTTCAAGTACGATGACAGTTGCCTTTTGCCTTATATTCAGATACAGCATCAATGTTGATGGTTGCCTCTTACCGTATGTCCAGATATGACAGGGGTGATTGGTACCCCTTACCCTATGCCCAGATACAGCAAGCATAATAGCCGCCTCCTTCCACATGCCCAGATATGATAGTGGGGACAGTTGCTACATGCCCAGATATGACAGGGGTGACGGTTGCCTTTCACCACATGCCCAGATGTTACGGGGTGATGGTTGCCTCTCACCACACACCCAAATATTACATAGGTGATGGTTGCCTCCTACCGCATGCTCAGATCTGATAGGGTGATAGTTGCTTCAGATAAGTTGTAATACATGACAGTTGCTTCTTACTACATGCTCAGATATGACAGTTGGTGTAACAGTCGGCACTGGTGATCATCACCTCCACTTGTGGGTCTTTGTGTGCTTTACAGCCCATCCTCAGTCAGATTATGACTGCTCTATCTCCCAGTAGGGTGTTTTCCCCTCGCTTTCTGTTCCAGTAGTATCAACAGGACAGGAAGACAAATCTCCCCAGTGCTGAGAAAGAAAAAAAAAACCTAATCGAAGTTCTAACCATTCGATGCAAAATAAATCAGTTTAAGATGAAATTGGGCTTACAGGATTGTCCCTAACAGCTTATTGGGAGATCTTTTTAACATTGCACTGTATGATTGTCTCAAGCAGAATTCCAGATGGTCACGTTGCTTGCAACAGTTGCATATCTTATGCCTAGCCTATGATAATTACTTGCTGAAAAGTTTTACCTTAACTCCCATGTTTAGAAGAATGCACAAGGCAAAATCATTATTATTTATGATGAAGATGAGAGGATAGCCACTCTAGCAGCAACAACCATGTGTGAAAGAGGATTTGAGAATCTCTTTATGCTTTCCGGAGGTAAGAATTATTTTATGTTTAGGTAAAACAAACAAAATTGAAGTGTATGGCAATAATGAGAAGGTTCACAGTACGTAGGGATAATAAACGTTCATATATTACCTGTTTTGTGTAACGTCTGCATATTTGGATGTCAAAACATCACCCTGCAGTCCCCTCAAGCCTTAGTGTACTATTTTACTTATGACAATAACCCTGCTGAAGATAGGGTAGTGATGCATTCAATGCCACATTCCAAACAGCTTTATTGGGAAAGAGATGGCTATGGAACAGGAAACTACATGCTGATGGGGTTACTTTCTATTGTAATAACCAGGCTCTGAAAAAGCGCTGACCAGGCTTGGTCAGTGTGCGTGGCATGAAAATAAGCCAAACAGTTTTTCGATGTTGGCTCTTTCAGTGCAATTTCCCAGCACCCTCATGTCTTAGGCACAAGTCTCAGGACATGCCAGTCGGGAAGCTACAGTCTTTAGGTACAATCCACTACGACACAATGCATGTTTTATTTGCCATAAGAAGCATTTTTAGCCATGTGATTCCTTTCAGCTGTCATTGGCTCTTACTGCTGAAAATACCAAGTGTTATGGCAAAAAGTTGGGCCTTTTGCCTGTGATATCTCTTTCTGTTATGACCTGTTCATACTAGATAGGTAATACAAAAACTGATTAATTAAATTTCCAGGCTGCAGGAATATTACCTTGGGCAGTGGATTTGTCAAGCTACTGTTTTCTGGTCATTTTGTTTACTCCAGGAAAAGCTATATAGAAAGTAATCATGTTAGCATCTTTATTGGTTTCATCACATAAGATCATTGGGAAAGTGCTTGTCAGTAAACACATCAAGGTGACCTTACATCCTTTTAATGATGAGTTTCCTGTCGTGGGCTAGACCTCATGCATAGCTAATGTGTGTTTGTCACCATCACAGTCACTGTCAATTTCCATTTGATGGTGTATATGTGCCAGTCTCTGTTACTCAGAGGTGCAGTTATAAATATTCAACCCGTTATTTGGCTATTAAATGATAAGGAAGCCTATTGAAGAATATTATGCTCTGTAAAAAGAAACAAAAAACATTAAGACGTAGGTTCTCATTATGTACATGAAACTTTGCTAACGTTATACTAGACTTAGATTTAGTGTTACTGGCATACTAACCTTATAATCTACAGAACTACATTATTCCTTCTGTTTAATTTGAAATATTTAGTTTTATTAGGATAGTTTAACAAATCTTTTTAAAGCATCACCCTATTTTCTTTGGTTTTGTGTATAAGAGCGTTCAGAAATCTCTTCATTACCTGCCTTACATCCATACAGTGTTATGTCGTGCTATATAAATACCAATAATAAATAAATAATATACACTTTTTCTATTTGCTCTGGGCAGATGTATGTTGGGCTAATGAGGGACATCGCTAATTACACATTTAAGTCTCTAAAAAATAAATAAATCCTGTTTTTGGTTTTATGCAGGTCTGAAAGTCATAGCGCAAAGGTTTCCTGATGGTCTTACAACTGGCACATTCCCAGCCACCTGCTTAACTCAGCCAGTCCAGCCTAAGTCTGCACGCAGACATGCCACACCAAGGGAACCTGTCTTACCAGCTGAAAACAAATGGAGATTTTCCAGCCAAGATTTGGAAAAAATAGAGCAACATCTTGAGAAAATGCTCATGCCAGCAAACACTGCCAGTAAGTAAGCATTCATATGTTGACTAGGAAAATCCTGACAAATTATTTTCTCCTCCTAAACTTTTTGCTGATCATTATCCGTTTTAATGGAGATCCCACTGACAAGTGTTTGGAAACTCATTCTAAGTACATGTTTTTGCTTGAAGACCGTAATGGAACAGACTTGGTATATGGCTAAAGACCCAGGTATAGCCTTAACTGATCACCTAATTATGGTATGCTTGGAGCCTTTGCCCTCAGCTCTACATTACTCTGTAGATCGTATAGCTGACATTATCCATCTTCTCTCCTGTCAGTTAACATATAGAGAATTTTATGGCTGAAAGGTTTGTCTGTGTAACAGCAATGCAAAAAAAAAATATTACTGCAAATGCCTTTTGTTGATTAATTTCTTTTTGGAGCTTCACTGTATAACTTCATTAAGGAAGTTACAGATGGTAAAAGTGCTCATTTTCTACAGCAGAAGAAGCTTTAGGCTCCTTTTACATGAGCACCTATCAGTTCAGATCAGCAGGGGATCCCGTGCTGATCAGAGCAGTATGGATTGGAAGTCAACGTTGTGACTTCTGTGTCTGTATATTTTTGACTGAACTTATTATTATTATACAGGAATTATATAGCTCCAACAGTTTGCGCAGTGCTTTACAATATAGGGAAGGAATTATAATTACAATACAATTCAAGACAAGATGGCAAGGAGGGCCTACAATCTAACTTACCAGCCCCTTGGCCATTAAGATCAGATTATGCCCAATCTGTCATGGTATGATCCACCAAAATGGAACTCTGTTCTGTTTGGTTTTCTAGACCTGGTCGGCGTCTGCAATAATCAGATATAAACGAATGCATGTTAGTTTAGATCCAGCAGCCCATGGAATAACATTGGTCTTCCAATCAGATCCCCCTGAAAAACTAACAGGCGGACCTGATCAGACTGCCCATCTGAAAGGGGCCTAAACCTCAAATTGGTAGATCTCCTGCCTCTGAAGCCAAAGAGAGTTCCTTTTGTTTCTCACAGACATCTTGCACAAAAGCCGAACCTACGGGAGGGGCCCAATACCACCACAAGCCTTGGGCCTCTAAATCCTCCAAGCCTGCAAATAAGTCCCCTTCAGCATGAAGGGCCACCCCCGCTTATCAAAGTGGAAGGACATCTGTTGGACTCGGATGCCTGGGTAAGATACATGGTGTCTAGGGACTACAAGCTAGAGCTCAGCTCTCTGCCTTTTCACTGTTTCACTTTTCAAAACCAAAAGGGGGGTATTTGCCCTATCTTGGATCTGATGGCTCTAAATGTCTTCATTCTGACTCAAGTTCCATATGGAATCCACCAAGTCTGTCATAACCTTCCTCCATCATGGAGACTTTCCAGCATCAGTGGACATCAAGGACACATACTTGGATATCCCCATTTCTCTAGCCCATCAATGCTACCTTCAGTTTGCTGTAAGCACTCAACACTTATCAGTTTGTAGCCCTACAGTTTGGCCTATTGTCTGCCCCACATGTGTTTACCAAGGTTCCAGCTCCTGGGCTGAAGTTGCTACACCATCACAGTACCCTTTTGTGGGATACCTAGACCATCTTCTATTATGGGAGCGGTCAACTCAAACTCCTGACCTGTCAATGTAATGCAGACAGTCCAAACATTAAAAAGGTTCGGTTGGATCCTTAACATCCAGAAATCAGAGCTGGACCGCACTTGGAGTATCTGGGCTTCATTTCTAGACACCGCTCAAGTGAAAGTATTTCTTTCTCAAGAAAAGCTTCTGCTGCTCCGCTCCCAGACTCTGACTCTACAGTACTGGAGCCGGCCAGATCTGCAATAGTAGACTCCTTCAGGGTAGTTCAGTCTCTAGACAACTTCTCCTGACACCCAAGACCCAATTGTTTCTGGGCTGGAGGCTCAGGAATCCAGCAGACTACCTGAGTGAACAATGTCTGGACCCAGGGGAGTGGTAGCTTTACCCAGAGGTGCGCCAGGAACTGTAGCACAGGTGAACATCGAATGTGGATCTCCTGGCCTCCAGATTCAACAGCAAACTGGACAGGTTTGTTTTGAGATACAGAGATCCACTGGTATAAGTGGTGGATGCTCTGTTAGCTCCATGAGATCAGTAAAGCCTGATATTTTGGCTCTTAAAAGACCACCCTTTGAACCTATCGGGGATATTCCCATTTCCGCTCTCATCCACAAGGTTGTGTTCCTTGTTGCCTTCACAGCTGCAAGATGTGTTTGAGTAGGCAGCCTTATCCTGTAAGGATAATGTAGTATTGAGGTGTAGAGCCTCCTTTCTCCCTAAGGTAGGAAGTATTTGTTAATCAAAAGAAAATGTCTGTTCACTGCCTGGATGTAGTTTGTGCTCTTTGGGCTTATCTCTCAGCCACTGCTTCCAATAGAAAAATGTATTCTCTTTTTATTATTCTTGATGGTCCCCGTGGGAGCCAGATTCTCGTTCCACCATTATTTAGTGGCTTAGACAGATCGTTATTCAAGGTTATGGTCTTAAGGATAAGGTTCCACTTTTTCCTTTCAAGGCACACTCTACTAGGTCAGTGAGTGCCTCCTGGACTTCTTTTAGGCATCAGACAGCAGTTTCCCACATTTGCTAAACTGCCAACTTGTCCTCTGTTCATATGTTCTTTAAGTTTTACCAGGTGGTTGTTCAGACCTCATCTGATGCCAGCTTCGGAAGTAAGCTACCCTTCGTTTTTATTCTGTTTTAATATTTAATATATTAATGTTTTGTTTGCTGTGTTGCCCACCCCTCGGTTGGAGTGCTCTTAGATGTTCCAATCATATCTGCATAACTACTGATCCTGTGTCCCTTATTGAATGATAAAAAATAACTGTATGCTAATTCGTTTTTTGGCGGGATGAGATGTGCACTAAATTAGCATCTTGAATGTTAATTACCTCGTACTTCTAGAAATGCCCTGGGCTTCAACACCTCCCAAACTACATTTGTCCCATTGGCGCATGAAACACTGATTTTGTGGAACGTGCAAAAAAATTGATCATTCATTGCTACAAGTAATGTAAGGGGAAGCTGGATTGTGCCAACTATTAACGTGTGTGGTGTGAACTATAGCGGAAGTCAGCATTGCATGAGATTTTTACTGGCAGCAGTAAATTTCAACACAACAGAACCTTGATTGTCCATTCTGGGTGCAGTTTTATTATAAGAAAGTATACTCTTGCCTGTTTAGTTATTCTTTGTAATTCAGGTTGGTATACTTCTCCTTCTGTCATCCTTAGGTCGTCTCAGCCGATTATCTACTGGAAGATCAGAGTCAAAGAGTGCTTACTCAAGAAACAGCCACATTCCATCTTCTGCCAGCTCTGTCAGCTCTCAATCAGTCCGTAGCATCAGCCCACACAGCAAACCCTGGAAATGATTCATGTACAGTCTCGCCAATAAACAGTTATTCCCATTCACTCCCTACTTGTCTAGTAGAGCATTTCTTATTCACGCTACAAGCAGTATTGCTAGCTAGACAGGGGTTCTTTTGCAAGAAGATGAAAGAAAAAGAATGTTGTTTACAGGTAATTTACAATTACTGTATAGAAGTTTCAATTTGGGGGGGTATATGTATTGGTTTTTGTTCTTTGTGTTACATAGAGCAGTTTCCTAAGAGATTACTCTTTGGTGACTCCCTCAATCTTTACCTCTTGCCTTGACTGTACATGACATTTGGATATTGTGCAGATTACTTTAAATAGTGTCATAACTGCCCATTGGAAACTTATGAGAAATCACTGGTTTAAAAAAAATGCCCCAAAGTTGTAATTGCATTTGGTATTTTTATGGTGTAATGTAGCAAGTCTGTGTAAACCTATAAGGGGCACATTCCACGTCTGGTGAGACCAATGAAGTATTGTGATGTGTTTCCTGCACTCGTTACAGCAACTGGACCTTGATTAATGGTCGTGGTGCTCATAGTGATTGCACAGATGGCGCTGTGTCTTCCAAAATCGTAGAAAATGGATATAGCCAGCACTCATTCGATTCGTTTGCTTATTTATTGAAGAAACATGTCGCAAGTGTTATTTAGCCAACGTTTGGGTCACTATGTCGCCCAGAAGAAGGGACCCTGCGTGGCCCCAAAACGTGACCTGTTTCTTCAATAAATAAGCAAAAGAATCTAATGCTTTTGACTGAGTGCTAGTGATCTCCGTTTTCTACGATGGTGAGACCGATGACTCTTTTATCAACTCTACATGTTATTGGTTACTGCAGTGCTGTTTAAATGTTAGAGTCCAGACTCAATGGAAATATTGCAAGGAACTTGGGGTTTTCTACCTAGGAGATCTTTACACATTTTGCAGCACAATATTGAAAACAAATTGTGCTGGATGAAGTAAGTCTCCCTACTGCACCACTCCGAGGCAAATACTGCAGAGCTGGACCACCTATTAGTTTCTTATATCTGTAGGGAACTTGAGCTCTGTATTATATGTTATAAAGATTGCAGCATAAGTGGAAAAACCCTGAGGTTCCATTCACATAGCGTTTGCACGTACCGCACGGCAACGTAAACACTATAATCTTTCGACCGCACGGATTCCGCTCGTTTGCGGCTATTGTATAGCCGCGAATGTGTGGAATCCGTAAAAAAAAAATCACGCTTGGACTATTTTACGGGTCAGACGATTTCGTACCACGCGGCCGCCGCAAAAATCTGAACAATGCACATTAAAGTGCATTGTTTTTTCTGCTTGAGAGCGGCTCTGCGCGTATACGGCCGGCCGAATATGTGCAGACAGCTGCTCCTGTGTGAATGGAGCCTTAGGTGTGTAGGAATTTTGACAAGAAGATCTTTCCAAGTGAGCCCCCAAGAGAAATAGGTTAGTGGGCAAGTAAGATCACTGTACTCGCCTCTAAATGATGTATTGGGGGGAATTTATCAAAACTGGAGCAGGAAAAATCTGGAGCAGCTTTGCATGGCAACCAATCAGCTTATCTCTTCAGTTTGCTCATTTTAAGATTTGAAAATGAAAAGTGGATGCTGATTGGTTGCTATGCACATCTGCTCCAAATTTTGTCTGCTCCACTTTTGACAAATTCCCCCCATTGTGTTTGAGTGAGTGTAGGTAACCCCTAAATCAGCTATTGGAAATACTTAATTATTTATCATACATAATCAATAATAGATTTTTGTATATTCATTGGAAAGTAATATTCATAAATATCAGTTACATTCCAGTCCACTTAGTAGTTCTAGTCAACATATGGTAACAGCTCTTGTAACCTATACATGTCTTTAGATTTTGGTATTGATTTAGAGCAGCCAAATGCATGGGTCCAGTACCCTGTGGGCACCTCAGCAACTCCTTTTACAGCCAATACTAAACTGGGGTCTACCACACTTGCCAAATATCCTTTATGTATTTAGGAATCATTGTGTGATGAGCAGCCCAAAGCTGACTTATTTATGGAATGAGTTTCATCTAGTCACTTATGATGTATTTGAACAAAGGAAAGATATTGCTGTTATCCACAGCAGCCAATCAAGTGTTAGATTTAAACTGCACTAGTGAAGTAAAACATTATGGAATATAATTTGGATGGTGTGTGCAACACATTCCTTATTATCCATAGACCTTATTTTAACTATAATATGTCCATAAAATATTTCCTTTTGGTAGTTTATTTACATTTTTTAAAAAGGTAATTATGTGGCATAGGTTTACTCTGAGTATTTTTTTCTTTAGCTTTTACCTTTCCTCTTCCATTTTTATAATTCTGTTTAGCATGTAGGCTCAGCATGAGATTATATAGGCATATTCTGTGAAGAAGTGCAGTTCAGTAATACAGCAACCAATCAGTGATCAGCGATTATTAGCAGTGAAGTAAAGTCGGATTGGTTGCTATTGGCTCCCTTTGCTTTGCACAGGCTTGTTGAATAAGCCTAATAAAATCCAGGAATGGTATTCCAATTAGTAGGATATTTGAATGAAGATGGCCTGCGTATGATTTTCTTTGAAAAGTGCCAACACATTACAACCAGCTGCATAAAATGTCAAGCAAGGTGACTGAATGGTAGTTTAAGCAAATTGCATTTGTATTAAAGTATATGTCCAGCCAACAATTTTCATTTTAGATTCAGATGAGGTGGGAAGGATTAAAAGCCCTGTCAGCTTTTTACTGCTATCTGAGCTCCATTAGGGGGATTTTCCCTTAATTACTTTCCTGTAACGGTTTTACCAAACAGGAAATGAGGGAAAATCTGCTGGATATACTCTTTAACTTGCATGCATTCCATAGCCATGGCCCTAAGTTAACTATTTAAAACAATCCCTGACAGCTTCCGTTATATAATGCTTAAGCACCGTTGGGGGTAAGTTATAAAAACTGGAGCAGACAGAATGTGGAGCAGTTTTCCTTGGCAACCAGTCAGCTTCTCTTTTTAATTTTCAAACCTTAACGGGACAAACTGAAGGGAGAAGCTGGTTACTATGGACAACTGCTCCAGATTTTGTCTGCTCCAGTTTTGATAAATTCCCCTAAGCGTTTCTTGTTGAGGACTTCTGTGTTAAAGGAAAACTTAGAGTATAAATATTTGGAAGCTGCTGATGCTGACTTGTTTTTGCAAACCCCAGGTCTGTCATCCTAATTCTCGCGTCACTACCTAGCACATCATTGACTTGGAACAAGCATACAGCCAGTGAAGTCTTTAAAGTCTGGACTCCCACCCTTCATACTTTTTCAGGTCCTGACTTACTAGGTACTGGAACTAGTGTCTGAATACCAACATGGCAGCTCCTGTATAACCATCCTTTGCGTGTATATTTTCTTTTTTTAACTTGCGACCTGCCGACTTGTTTAGCGGACACCCGGTGGATCGCATTGTAACACATGCGAACGTAGGGGGAAAAAAAATTCATATAGTTGAAAAATATACTATTTACAAAATTCCCATATGATGTTACCCTTACTATTATTATTATTATACAGGATTTATATAGCGCCAACAATTTGCTCAGCGCTTTACAAAATAGTGGAGACAGTACAGTTTCAATACAATGTACAGTACAACACAGTTTCAGAACAATAGGGTTGGGAGTGCCCTGCTCATGAGAGCTTACAATCTAGTAGGAGGGGCAAGTGATACAAAAGGTAACTTACTAAAAAAAAAAAAGTTTTCATGGGTTGCTGACAAAGAGTTTGGATCGATTTTTCATCTAACTTTCCTTTATATAATACAATGTTGTGTTGCTTTTTGATGAGTAGGGGACTTTAGTTCTTTTTGTTGTTGTTTCATGTTCTTACACCACATAATAGTTTTACTATATAAGGTACTGTTTCACTTCCAAGTCATTATTTATGTGGAAATATTGAGCAAGTTACATAGGTAGTGTTAACTTATCTGTAGCATTATTTTGTATAATTTGGACAATATTTACAACTCTGCATTTTTCATGCGGTGCTTTTTATATGTGCTACTATTCATCACTATGGCTGATGTGCTTTTGCTGAACACCACACAAGATGCAGTAAGCAGGATATTTGTATGCACTGCATTGAAACGCTTGGCTATAAATGAAGCCTTAATTCATTTATAAGCACAAGGAATGTGCCTTTTCATGGAATTTATATACCTGGATGATGATATACAAGACATAACTGACATTTCTGAACATTACTCTCATACTAATAGTTTTTCTTTCAATAAAAGTGTAAATCTCTCCGAGTAAAATATTTTGGATCACAGTTACCATTTTCTGTGCCAGGGCCTAGAAATTTATAATATACATGGTAGTGAACCTATAGCTGTAATTGAGTGCATTTCCATATTGTAAAATGTTCTGTTACGTGCTCTATATACAGTTGTGGAAGCTGTAGGAAGAGACACCTTACTTTGTGAAAAAATGTTTTATTGTTTTTAAATGTTTATTTTAATAAATTACATCTGCTGCTACTTTAAGGCACTGCTGACTTTTGTCTTGTCTTGTTTTATAAATTTACTTTCAATACAAAAGATCCAAAGGTATTCCGAAAAAAATAAATGTCCAAGAGTATTTTCTATGTTGCCTGTTTTTCCAGATAATTTTCACTGTTTGATGGGACACTGGCAACCTACATCACAAATGCCTTTGATGACCAGGATGTGTAAAACAGTCATTGTAAGTAAAAGCAAAATACAGGTATTCCTCACTTAACGACCGAGTTCCGTTCCTACGACCAGGTCGTTAAACGGATTGGTCGTTAAGTGAGGAACTCTATACAGTACTGTACTGCATTAGTACAGTACTGTATAGCGTTGCCGATGTACAGTAACGAACAGTGTACTGTACATCGGGCAATGAAAATACTTACCAGGACCCGCAATGAAGATCGGAGGACACCACTTCCGCCGGCGACACGGCGCACTGGCGCTGACGCGCAAGGTCGGAGGTCGATCGGCGCTCCGTCGTAAGTGCGAGTGGTCGCAAAACAGGTAAGTCGGTAAGTGAGGAACATCTGTATGTTTAACTAATAAATCTAAGTTGATTTCATATCAGTGGACAGAGCTGCATGCTGATGTGATTTTTAGTGAAAGGGGTAAAGTTCCGGTAGTAGAACCAGCTGGTCACACATGAAGGAGAAAAGTAGGGTAAGCAGTTCCATGATGAGGTAATGAAGATAGAAAGGGCTGTGCAGCCAGGCAACAAATCTTGTAATAAGACAGTAAAGTTGTGAGGGCCCTCACCTACATACTATCCCAAAGTAAAAGCAGAAGAGAACT